CTCTCTCTCTCTCTCTCTCTCTCTCTCTCTCTCTCTCTCTCACACACACACACACACACACACACACACACACACACACACACACACACACAGGATCGGGCTTGTACGACCGAGGTGTTCTCTCTTTTGTAGTTGGATACACACACACACACACACACACACACACACACACACATAGACTCCCTCCTATTTCTAAAAATAATGATAATTATCAAGAAACAATTTTAATAATGATATAAATCATTAAAAAACAATAATAATAAAAAATTAGAAAAAATAGAAAAAAAAATAAAATAAAAATAAAATAAAAAATAATAAGAATAAATAATAATAAATAAATCAAAAAATAAATATATAATAAATAATAAATAATAAATAATGTAATTATAATAAACCATGTATAACGTTCATACACTCCCTTCTAATAAAAAAAATAATAAATCAAGAAATAATATATAAAATTATAATAATGATATAAATCATTAAGAAAATAATAATAATAATTAAAATCAGGAAATGACATATATATTTAAAAAAATAATAATAATAAAATTAAAAAAATAGTAATAATTATATATATATATATATATATAAAATAAATAATAAAAACCATATTAGAAAATGGTTTAGATAATGAAATAGGGGATAATAAAACTTGCATAATAAACATCACTAAGATAATACATAAAACCCACATAACCCGAACACCCCTCTAGCTCAGTTTTTTTCACGAAAAAAGTGCAGAAGGAGCAACACATTAAAACAAATATAAGACACTAGCTATGCACATGGCCTAACACCCCAACCCTGTCGACGCATTGCACATAAATTGCACTACCCTCGCTTGCATAAGTATACAACACCCACCATTCTCGCAGCAAAAGCTAACACAGACAACTCATAAATAACAAACAAAACACATACCGGATACCGGTTATGGGACTGATCTGTTAAAAACTAGTAATACCGGCAACAATAACAGCCAATACACTGCACGCACACAAAAACTAAAACAGCAAAAAAAGAATGCGAAAGCCGGATGGACACGAAAGCCAAAACGACACTCGCACCAAAAAAATAAACAGACCACATACACCCATACACCCAAACGGCACTTCTGACCTCACGAAGGCCAACAACAGATACAACACGACAAGTATTTCCCAACCCGTCAACAAGCACTCGCAAAAGACATAGACAGCCCAACTCTAAAACGACAAGCTAGCACACAAGCACCACGGCACTGGAACCCTGATGAGACAAACGGAACACGATTTCTGGCCAAAACACCCATCGTGCAAAACAAGAACACACACGGGTATACACGTTGACAGGGATACCCGCGCTAAGCAAAACGAACAGATCACATACACCAACATACCCAAACGACACTACTGAACCCATACAGGACAACGACAGAAGCAACACGCCAAACATATGCCATCCCGCCAAACAAGCACGAACACACGCCATAGCCAACCCAATTCCAAAACGACGAAGCCAGCGCACAACCTCCACGGCACTAGAGGCCTGATGAGACAAACGGAGCACGAACGCTAGCCAAAACACGCTACGTACAAAGCGCCAACATGTACAGAGTTGAAGCAGACTTCCCCCCAAAAAAATACATCACCCACTCAGACGAGCCCACAACAGCCATGGCGAGGAGCACGAACACTAGCCAAAACACACTACGTACAAAGCGCCAACACATACGAGTGTACAGAGTTGAAGCAGACTTCCCCCCAAAAAAATACATCACCCACTCAGACGAGCCCACAACAGCCATGGCNACAAAGCGCCAACACATACGAGTGTACAGAGTTGAAGCAGACTTCCCCCCAAAAAAATACATCACCCACTCAGACGAGCCCACAACAGCCATGGCCCTCGCCACCACCTTCCCCACCGCAAACACGCACACTCCGATTATACCATACCCACCCACCTTACGCGAGAAGGTCGAAAAACTACTGCACCTACTACCATACTATAAATTGAGCAGACTACGGCTACACACAAGCATCCGCAGCAAGGCAACGGCAATACCTCGCTCCCTCTCTTCCTACCACGCTCATGATACTGCTAAGCTGCTGCTTCTACCACTCTACCCACCTACGCTTGCGTAACGAGCAAACACAAGCGGTCTAATGCTCGCGTGTTGCATACTGTAACGTGCAGACCAGAACAAGAACCGACCTTTCAATACAAAGTATAAGATAGCACAACGGAAGACTTAGATACCAGTGATCCGAACAATCAATGTTG